TTTTTTTTTTTTTTTGTTTCTTTTTACATGGATTGCTAAATTTATTGGTACCATTACAGTAATTTTTTTCTTGTTTTGTTAGTTAATAAGTTTAAGAATAGAATAGTATTGTTATGCTGTCAATAATTGCTGTAAACTTTTCTGTTTGTTGTCGTCAATTAAAAACAAGAACTTGCACATAAGATACAAGGGACTTTCTGACATCTTGGAATAATCTTGATTTATTCTGGTGCTAACATCATCGGTTAAATAACGTAACTGTAGTCTTTTGAATCTCTAGATTTGTCTTCGGAGCTGGTGATATAAGCTTAACTTTTTCAGTTGTATTTTGGAATATTGAACCTGGGGAATCTGGATGATTTGTAGATGTTATGACTTACATATGATGTGGTGAATTGTTTTTGCAAGGACATTAACACATTTTTCAGCGATGTCATTGCTTTGTGTTTGTGGGGGTACGCTGCCTGAAGAGTTGGGGTTGTAATGAGTAATGTCGTACACAAACGGATATATAATTTAATTGGATGCAGGGCAAACTCAAAAGTGCAGAAAAATATTTACCCTTGTTTTCTCTATAGCTGAATACCTTTTCCTGATTAACAAAGAGAGTGTACTAAGATTTGTTTTATCTTTTCATGTGCTAAAATCTTTATCTAGTTTCATGGAAAAGTTGTTGCAAATGATTCTTCAAACCTTTGAGTGTTAAAAGATCTACATCTTCCTACCAGTTTGAAAAGATGATGTTATATTATGACCGTCGTGTATGCAGCTATACCTGGATTTCAAAGGCCAGCTGGGTCCACTTCTTTGAAGTCACTCATGGAGCCCGTTCCAATCACAGATAAAGGCTTACTTCCTGCAGATTATGTTATTGAAGACCCCGATTCTCATTTCATTTATGTCTGTAAAAAGATAAACGAGCCAACTGATTTTGACGATACAACTTAAATCCTTGTCAGAGGTAACAAATAGAACAAACATGGTACACACCTTTATTCTTCTCCCTTGAAGCACCATTTTTGTCATTGATGGACTGAAGTAATAATCTCTCCCGTACAGGAATTTTTATCGCAGTTTAGCTTCGGATAGTTGGTTGGTTTAATTTGTCAACGTGACATAAAAATGAGAGAAAAAGGTTGTTGGCCTGAACAATGGGAAATTGGTTGATGTTTGCAAATTACACCAAAACATGAGTTTTATGCCATATTGGTGGTACATAGAGGATTGCAGCTGGTTAACTCTTGTCATTCGTAACATATATGCTATCAATCTATTCTTTCTTTGTTTCCTCCTTTCTTGACCCAATACTTATAGGACAAAGATCCCCTATATTAGATCTTCCAACTAGTGGCGCTCCATTGATAGCTCAATTGACATATAAAAATGCCACAATTAGGTGTTGTCTAATCGTGACTCAATTATCATATTCGAGGAAAGCATTTTTAATCAGTGTTTGATGCCATTCGAAGAAAGGTGGTATCATATAAGCCTTTGTTCAAAAAATTTGCCTAGGTGTTATGATTTTTGCTTAGATGGTCATTGTAGGTGTTCTTATGGTTAAAGGTGCTTAGACAGACTAGGCACTTGTGAAGTTACTCACGCTTAGGCTAGCTAGGCGGCCCACGTAGTCTTGATGATACCTAGAGCTAGAGTTGTTAAATGAAATGAGTCGCTCGTCACCTAGAGCTATAGCTGTTAAATGAAATGAGCCGTTCGTGAACTCAGCTTCACTCGGCTCGACTCGAGTTTCTTAGCTCGTTTGACAACCGAGCTGAAGATCTCACTTAAAGCTCGTTTCGTTAACGGGTCTGACTTTACTTAATAAGACTTGTTAAGGCTCCCAAGAATTTTTATATAATTTTCTGTAGTTGGATTCATTAAGGCACAAGATCGTCTACTCGTTAAGGCTCGAACTCGACTCATTAAATGAGAAACAAGTGTAGGTCGAGCTCGATAACTTAACGAGCCGAACCAGGCTTGGTTCATTATTAAAGGCTTGAGCTCAAGCTCAATTTTGCTCATTCAAAGGCCTAGCGACACCTAGGATTTTCCGTTCGAGTTTTTAAATCTATCTTTAATAATAATAAAAATGATTATTAATCATATTATTAAACACATACAGTAATTATGAATGCAATAATTTGCATATATTTGTATTAGACATTAAATAATATATTTTGTGTAGTATCTATCTACTATATAATTAGGCAACTCACTTGCCATTTTTAGAAAGTTTTATGTGGGTCCTACTATACTCTTACTATTTTAGGAAAGTCTCACATTCTTTTGACACGTGTTCTTATTTATATTAATATTAACTACCTCAAATAATATTTTATTTATTTTATCCATAACTACCCAACACCCCGTTATTTAATGATTTGACACGTGTTTATCAGTAGTTTTGGCTCATTTTTACTTGAAAGGTACTTTATAAAATTTTATTATATTTTTATTAAAGATTTTAATTTAAATTAGTTATCTAATTTTCATATTTATAGTGTATAAATTAAAATAATTATAAGTGTCCGTATACTTCTTGCCTGACTTTTATAAATTTTTTTATCTTAAATTTTGTACATAAATATTAACTCTAATAGTAGTGAAATTAGATAAAAAAAAAAAAATATATTTTAAAAACATGCACAATGAATAACACACAAACATTCTTCATAATAAATAAATAAATAATTAACAACATGTAGAATATTTTTTATTTCATTTCTACAACCTGCTAATTAAATCTAATAACAGCGAAATTAGATATAAAATGTTTTAAAACATGCCTAATGAATCACACAAACATTCTTCATAATAAATAAATAAATAAATAAATAAATAACATCATGTTTGTAGGATCAATAACATAAAGTTTTACCGATTTGGCTAAAGACTCCTTTTGTAAGGACTCATTATTTATATTTAAGTTATTGAGTATTAATTTGTATGAATATTATACCTGAAGAAATATATATTTATTGCATAAATCGGTAATTATATCTTATCCATATAATAAATATAATATATATTTTTGTTATTGAGGAGTAATTTATATGAATGTTATACCTAAAGAACTCTGTATTTACGCATGACCAACTTTATGTCTCATGTTCACGAATTACAAATGGGAAATGATTGAAAATATTAAAATATGTGATGATAAAAGTACCTCAAAGACGAAAAACGTTGTACATAATGAAGTGTTCAATATATTTCATCGTTATGCATTTGTATAAATTGCAAATGCTCTTATAATTTTTTTTTCGTAGCTCCCGTGCATTTGCACGGGCAACTGTACTAGTATTTTATAAATAGTGCATAAAATGAATATAAATAAATTTATTAATATTTTCATGAAGGCATTACCTAGCCAATAGCTTGGCGAATTTATAACAACTTTTAAAACATTGCATACATAAACCAACACAAAAAAATTCCTAAATTTTAGCTAGCAAATGACAGAAAATGCAGTTATCTCAAACAAAGAAAGAAAATAACCCACATAACTTTTACACTCAAACATTACCAATCTAACTACCCTAATAATAATAATAATAATAATAATAATAATAATAATAATAATAATAATAATAATAATAATAATAATAATTACACATATTTACCACTTCTTCAAATCAAACTGAACACTAATTCAAGGATCCTGTCCAATAATCCTAATGTTGTCCAACAACTTACTCCTTACACCCAAAACCTCACAAAACAAACCCTTCACCTCTTTCTCCACAAACTCCACACAATTATCCAGCACCTTTAACCTTTCCTTCAATTCCTTCACTGCCCCACATTCAAATTTTCCATTAGAAAGCCTCTCAACCGCACGGTTCACCTCCTCCATTGGCCCCCGTATATCCATAACCGCAACAACCTCTTTTCGAAAACCCAAGTCCAAAACCATTTTACACGGATCATCACCTGAAAACACCCCAACTTCGCCCCGGTACATTTTCTCGTCCTCACACAAACGCGACATCACTAACCCCAGTGCGAAAAATCCGATCTTCTTTACGACAATCAAAGCTTCTAGAACCACGCGCTCTTTCTTTTCACAACCGGGCTTCTTCTCAACTCCGGTCGAGAGGCCTTCCACATTGAAAGTACACTTGCTAGGATTAGAAATTTTAGTCCCCTGGCTTATTTTCAAGTACTTAGCTGCCATATTTGTCGAGTTTTTTTCGATCAGGCTGAGGGCACGGGAAATGGTGACCCTGGCCTGGCTTAGATGGGAGATTAAGGTGCTGATTGAATTAAGCATTTGTAGAAAGGTTATGCTGTGATTGAGGTACTCGTGGGTGGCTTTACCGCCCCACTGGCTCGTGGGGTACTCGATTTTTGTTGTGAGTTTAGCAAAAGCCTGGTCAGCAAAATTTATGAGCTCGAAAAGATTTTGGAAAAACGGCATGGAAAGAGACTTGGGGGCTTTCGCTAGCTTCAACATGGTTTCTTTGAGAAAACTCGATATTTCGGATTGAAAATCGTTCAACGAGGCCAGCACGGGTTTTGAGTTTTTATGGGGGTGAATTTTTTCCGGCATGGATGGAAATTTGAGGGGGCATCCAAGTTTTTCTGCAAAGAGCACCATGTTGAACTGGAGTTTATCTGGGAGAGGAAAAATTGGTGAAGATTGTTGTAGTAATTTGCTTTGGTTCCAAATGTGTGTGTTTTTGTGTGGGGTGTGGTTTTGGTTTTATTTATAGGCATCTTTGACGTAATTTGGATTGGAATGTGGTTAGTCTAGCTTTGGACAAACGCTAGCTAAATTTATTATGGCATAGGATCTTATATTGTTAATCATATTACAATATTGACAATCTTATATTATTCAAGATATACTCCATTAATTAGAAGTTTAGTTACATACTGCTTTTACCAGTAATAGTACCAATGTAATACATGTATGTATTAAGAGTATGTTTTGTAAAATTAGCTGATAAACTAGCTGATAACTTATCAGTAATTTTCGAGCTTATAGCTTATGACTTATAGCTAAAAAATTAACTAATATGATTAAAGTGTTTGGTAAAACTAGATGATAAACTAGTTGGAATAAAAAAATCAACTAGCTTATTTGAAAAGCTACACAAAGAAGCTTATCAAATAAGCTCGAGCTTTTTGTCCTACCAAACAAGGTTTATTTGAATACAGTGGGCTTATAAGCTAACCAATAAACTATAAGCTAGCTTATAGCTTATCAATAATTTTCAAGCTTATAACTTATATGATTAAGGTGTTTGGTAAAATTAGCTGATAAGCTAACTGGAATAAAAAAATCAACTAGCTTATCTGAAAAGTTATCTAAAGAAGCTTATCGAATAAGTTCGAGCTTTTTAAAAAAGATTGTCCTACCAAACAAGGCTTATTTGAATACAACGAGCTTATAAGCTAACCAAATAAGCTATAAGCTAGCTTATTTGTCTACCAAACATAGTCTAAATTAAGAATACTATTGTAATACACTTTTTGAATTATGTACATATATGCATATAATATTTCAAATAAATAAAAAAAAAATATGACTTCTTAATTTTATCCATAATCGCTTGTCAATCTCGTACGACAAGCTTTGTTGTCTGGTCAATTTGTGTCGGCCACCAGAGCGTACGCTAAGTTCTAGCCAGTCAATGCATACCTTGGAGTCACAATACGCGCATTGGTTGCCGATACATCCATGCCCTGTCGTCGAGACCCACAGTCAGGTTGCCTCGTTGAGAATTCTCCGGTTCTTTAATCGTTCGCAGTCTGATCCGCCGCGTCCGTCGTAACAAGAACAAAATTACAGAAAGTTGTCCTACAACCAACCCAAGCATAGGTTTACATAATAATCTAGTAAAGCAGTAATTATTATAATCATTCAACCACCCCAAAAACGACCCTCGACATGTTTGACGCTATAAAAAACATATATGAACAGAAAAAGCATACAAACAAGTGGCCATAATAGAATATCTAAGAACCTTACAATTGAGGCGAAGAGCTCACTTTCCGGGCATTTGGTGAACATTATATGATTGTGATTGATCGAGGGTCGAAGAAAAAGAAAATTATGAACGATAAGAGACGGGGTCGCAATAATATGAAGGCGGATGTTGGATTGATCGGAAAAGAGGCGTTAAGTGCTTGCTGGGAGGTGACTCATCGTTTTCATTTTATTTTATATGTTTGAAAAAAAAAATCTGGAAGAAAATTGGTGGTGATTAAGTGTTCGAGCGAAACATGGAGTAGATAATCGTGCTCAAAGGTGCAAGGATTCCATACCGGTGGAGCTTGCTCGACTTATCGGTTAGTTTTTTGAGATATGCCATTAGGGGAGAGAAGTGTCAGATATCTTGAGTTTTTATCGCTCTATTGCATATCATATAGTTGCTTGCATTAGTTTCTATTTTTAATTATTTTAGGTTATCTTTATTTTTTTTTGGATGCACATTTACTTAGTTTATTAGAGTAATAATAATTCGCTTGAGTCGAATATTTTTACTTTGTCTTGTGTGTGCTTTGGATGATTGGTGGCTAGATGATAATTGATTAGAGTTGCTTATTTTAATTAAGATTTTGTAATGATGATCATGAATTATATGCCTTTATGAATTCCTTGATTGCTTTGAATCAATGGTGTATTTGACTTGGAAAGATTTAAACCTTATTTTATTTCTTGTGTGATTAGTCGAACACTTGGGATACTATAGAATTTCCATTGATTGTTACTTGAAAATATTATTATGCGCTTGTAACTTTGAAAATGATTTAGGTGATTGTTGTTATTTAGCCCGTTTTATCCTCATTTATTTCTTCTAAAATTTTATCCTTAGTTAGCCCATTTGAACTTTGAGTCTTTTAATGATAGCTCTTGATGTGAATGATTTAAATTATTTGGAGATAATGGAGTTGAATGAAACTTTATGTGATGATGAGCTACGATGACTTTTTGTTTAAGGAATAATGAGTATGAAATGAGCTATGATTTGTGTATGTAATTTGAGGCATTTGATAGGGAAAGAAAAGAAAGAAAGAAAAAAAAAATAATGAGAACTCACAAAGTGAATTGTGAGGATTCTGCTTATCTTACTCTCGATTTAATTTGTCGAGTCAAGAGTAATTAGTAATGAGAAACTATTCTAGAACACTTATTATCTCTAATGGCTATACGTAAAAAATGTTGTCCTTGCTATTTATTCTTGTTTGAAAAAATTGGTCTCTTAAAAAAATAAAAATAAGAAATATATAAAAAGAAAAAGAAAAGATCAAGTGCCGAGATGTGCATATTTGTGCTTTATAGAGTCGTGTATGTATGTTTTTATTGGGAGATAATTAGAGATGGAGGATAGTGATTTTTCATCGATGTATTGTTCGATTTTTAAATCACTTGGCCTATATTATTCTACTTTGTCCAAGAAGCCTACATTACAGTCCACAAGACCTTTTGATTCTTACTTCTCGTACAATAATTTTATTTAGTAGAGTTAGACGATTTACAAGCTTATAGTTGACTTTATATTTTGAACTAATTTGAGCGTACCTTTATAATATTTTTGCTGATATTTCACAAGATTTGATTGAGAAATAGATACATTGATCTTATTTGAGAGTTCATTAATTCAAAGTGTTATCAAGTTAATAGTTCAGACATATGTATTTGTGATTGCTTGAATTTATCTTGATTATTGGGGGTGACTTCCAGGCCCGTCTTAAGGGGGGGAGGGGGCAGCTGGTGCAACGCCCAAGGGCCCATGAGGCTGGGGGGCCCATGAGTATACTGTATATACATGTATAGTAGATGTATTGGCCAATTCAAGTAATAATTAATTTAACCTCTAAGCCCAATAACATCAACAGAATCAATTGATAGACGCGTGTCCTTCAGGTCCGGGTAACAAATCTCCCCGCGCCCCGGCTCGCTCGTCCGACCCGGCTTGCCTTTTTTTTTAAGAAAAATATTTATATGTAAGTTAAATATTGGTCTCATTTCTCTATCTCAAACTTCCTCCTCGTCTCGCCTCAGACAGTCGGACATCTCCGGCGCCTCGCCTGAGACTGTGAGTCACCTCCGACACTGCCTTCGGGACACCGCCTCCACGCCTCGCCGCCGACTGCACTTACAGATTTTAAAGGTAATTACTAATTTTTAAAAAAAATTAAAAATGGTTCATGTAAGCTAGGTTGGAAGCTTAAGGGAATAGGTACAAGGGTTTCTCTTACATTGCCTAATTTTACTATTGTTTTACCTTTTTAAATGTACTGCTTTTTTTATTGGCTAAATATACATTGCAAGTTATCTCTTATAAATAGTACTATATACTCCAATTGTTATATTCAATTTTTAATTAGATTGTCGGGCCCTTAGTGTCTTGCTTGCCCAAGGGCCCTCGAAATTGTTGAGACGGCCCTGGTGACTTGATGTTTTTCTTGTTTAGATTGACTCTTTCATGCACGTGGTTTGTTTTTACTTTTTTGTTGTTCGGGGACGAACAAGGATTAAGTTTGGTGGATTTGACATGCGTCATTTTTACGTGCATTTTAGAGTGATTTTCGTACCCCTTTCATCATAGTTTGATATATAATTAATTATATACTAAGTTAATTTTATTAAATCATTATGAGGTAATTTATTTTTAGTTTTAACAAAAAATATGGTTGAATTAATTTTTGAAATCGAAAACGGTGAGAATCAGTTGAAGACGGTGTGTAAGTTGTGTATTGGGACGGACCAGTTACAAGGCCCTATTAGAGAGAAAGATATTTTTTTTTTTTTTTTT